ACAAGAGGAGCTCGGCTATGACGGCTCCTATAGGCGGCTCAATCTGGCGCGTGTTCACCGTGCGCGTGTTAAAAGCGTCTATATGCCCCATGCTGAAAAGTGCCGACGTCGTGTTCGAGCTAACAGTACCCGACAGCGCACATAAATGCATGTACGAAGCCGTGTTAGCGCCGTTTTTAATGCAGTGAATTTGAAAGAAGAACACAGTAAGTGGCCAATTATTTCATCTGCCTGGATGAGTAATGTTCCAAGTTACCTAGTACGTACGAATTATTCAGGATATTTGTTCTAATAATCGAAGGCAGGGAAAAAATTCACTCATTTTTCCTAGAGTAATATATTACTGGAAATCAATACTCGAGTGGTTGCTGTCTGCTTCAATTTGCGACAGCACACTAGCGCCAGTTGAACCTCTAGCGCAGATTGTAACACTTCTATGGTCATCACAGAGCGACGAGCCGTCAGCGTCACAGGCATCGTGAATGGGTGGTGTGAGTCACGACGTCGTTCTTCATCTTGCGTTCACCCGCGAGCTCCACGGATGGGCAGTGGGGATGAAGCTGGAAGTTTCGTAGGGAGAAAAGAAAAGGTTGTTGTGGTCGGACTGCCGAACTGGTTTTCCTTTATCTGCCGAAACAGAGGCCAGATTCACGAAGATCTTGGGTTACGACAACTTAGCTGAAAAGTTCAAAGTTAAGAACATCGTAAGAAGACGAGAAGTCGATATTCACGAACGCGTTCTTGAGTGAGAGGAGGAAAGCGACGTTCTCGTACGGAAAAACTAGAACTTCCGGTGTACCGTAAGCTCCCGATCCCCTCGAGAGCGGGCTGTTGGTATGGCGACTTCGTCTTCGGCAACACGAGCAAACAATCGGAGAGCTCGGCATGGTTCGGATAAGTTCGGAGCACGTGTATTTTAGAGCGCAGCTCTTAGGGGCCCGTTTCCAGCCTGAGCGGCGTCGGCGTCGCCGTCGGCGTTGGCGTCGGCGTTGGCGTCGGCGTAACCGGGGGGGGTCACGTGACCCCCCCGAGGTCAGGTGACCCCCCCCCCCCCCCCCGAGGTGACGTGAACCCCCCGCGAGGTCACGTGACCCCCACCCCCCGAGATCACGTGACAACCCCCCCAAGGTCACGTGACCCCCCTCCCCCCCGAGATCACGTGACCCCCCCCCCCCCCCCCCCCCCCCCGAGGGTGACGTGATCCCCCCCCCCCCCGAGGTCACGTGACTACCCGCAGGTGACGTGTACCCCCTTAGTACCCTTCCCTACTCCTCCTCAGGAGCTGCGCTCCAATTCGGCGTTACAGGGATTTGTAAACGGCTTTCATTTTTTCGTAACAAACAAAGGCGGCCTTTCCGCCACCGTTTTTCTGGGGTTCGTGTCCGTGCAGTGATATGTCCACGCTAACACGATTTCAACAGGCCCGAATGCCGAGGCCGGGATAACCGCCTTCGTTGACGGCTCCGAACTCGATCGCTACGAGGTCTACACAACTGTCATCGTTGCTAAAAGAAGACGGCCTGTGCCAGTCGTTTGCAAAGCGGCGTAGATAGAAACAAATCGCCGCGGTGTTTTTCGCGCCTCAGAGAGGCAGAAGCGAGCCGACGTTAAAGAAGATACGTTTGAACTGCAAGAGTGTCAGCAAGAGCCACGTAAATACCTGTTCACCCTCGGAGCGGACGCGCGCGTTTGATTGAAGTGCTGGATTCGCTCTGTTAGACCGCGTCTTGGTAAGTGTTTCGGGACCGATCTTGTACGATTGCAACTCGATACTGACGTGACACTCGGCAAATAAAAATTAGACCGGCATCGCGTAGCTCCCACGAACTCTTATAGCTCGACAGTGACGTACCGTCATGTCGGAATAAAATGGCATACTAATAACAAAGTATACAGTGTGCTCAACTGTTAAACATAACGTGGGAGCGGTGGCCGAAACTGATAGCAGAGGTGTCTAGCGATTAAATCAATGATGCGGCAGAGAATAAGCCGGCTCTTCTTGGGATTGTCGCCAGTCCCCGATACAATTATCGCACGACCTCCTCGTTCTTTTCTTTATCACCCGCGCTTTAAATTTTTACTTGTTTGTTTTGTTGTTTTTTCCCAGTCTGCTAAGTCACATCTACGCATTTACCATGCCGGGCTACCATATCTCGGTGATATTGCAGTTTCTCTATACTTCGTTTCAGCTTCGGTCCGAGCGCGGCCGATGTTATGAGCCAAAGGGCCAATCAAACAGCGCAAAAAGCGCGCCGTCATGGCGTGCCCTCTGCGCTTGATAGGTCTAGCCGGCGGAGGAGCACGCACAGAGAGACGGCGAATAGCGGCTGGTCCTATGAACTGCGGAGAGCACGCCATGACGTTGTGCCTCTTTCGCTGTTTGATTGGCCCTTCGGCTCATAACATTGGCGCGCTCGGACCGAAGCTGAAACGAAGTATAATAAAGGCGACCTTCTTTAAACAACAACAAAAACAATCAAAATGCGTTTTTTTTTTTTTTTTTATCGCCGAGTCACGCATCAGTGATTGTATCGGAGCTGGGAGTGTAACTCCTGAAAACAACAGCGGCATAAGCTTCCAGAGTGAGCCGGTGGATGGCACATGCAGTCTCTCCGGCCACCACTCCCGGGTTATGTTTGAGTACACTGTACACTGTACAGTTGAGTTGTCTGTACATACCGTGTTGCGAAGGTAATCCATATGGCGTTTATTTCAGCTCTGTATCACATAAAACAAGGAAATAGAATAGATGAGAGTTTCCTTTCGACGACACCGTTCGTCACCGCTACCTCGGAAAACAAGGAGATGACAGTGGGAATAGATTGACCTCTTAATCTAATATTGAGGTCAACGATCAAAATATTAATACGGGAAGGATCCATAAGGGTCACGCGAGCATATTCCATTCAGCAAGCCAGCCGGTCGTGAGCGAGCGGTTTTGGCCAAGGACCGTAGGAGCAACGCTGCGTCGGAGCAGGTCGGAGTGCCTGCTAGGCCTATGTTCTGCCGAGCTCGCCCTTGACGGTCGCTTGGTCGTTGGGATCGTTGCCGTTCTAGCTTTTCCCGGGTGTTTGTGGATCCAGCGTTTATGTTCATCGTGGTCACTTTCAAGTACTTCTTTCTTTTTTCTGGCTTCTTGAAGTCGGGACTCTCAAGAAGAGCACGTAGAGAAATAACTGTCCGTTTGTCATCGCGACCCAGTGGCTGAGCTACGCTGTAAGCCGTGTTGATTTGATCGTAAAAAGTGCGTAAGACAGCTCCGGAGCTGTTGTAGGATTCCAACGGAACCTGCGCAAAAGTTGCGATAATTTCATTTCGTGGATACGAATTTCTTCTTACGTTTTGGCGTAGGACAATCTTGGCGTAAGGTCGTTTATTGAATATGGCCTCTGCTTTCTGCAAAGATAATTTTACGCGCGTTCTGATGATGCAGGGCGTCCGTGTTGTCACGTGATTTCATGATGTATTGTGACGTAACAATGTCACGTAACGGCACACTGTCACGTGATATTATAGTGTCATATGACCTCATAATATCACGTAACAACGTGAGGAGCCGCGTGACATCATCTATCTGGATAGTTTTATTGATGAGAGTGTCACTTCCGAGCAGACACTGGCGATGGTCAATCTATGTAGCATGCAAGATACACAAGGATAATCTAGGGTTTTATAAGGTGTCGCTTCTATAGCTGTAAGCAAAGAGAGCCTAGATTGTAGAAGGGGACGCCCATCTCAAACCATGGGAAGCGCTTGCAGTTCAATGACGGACACCTCCCGCGCCCATTGGTCGCAAGTGCGCATGCGCAGCGTCTTCGCGTGGAGGGGAGGAGGGCAGCAGGAAAGACAGAGATGCTTACAGCAGATCGGGGGGGGGGGGGGGGGGGGGGGGGGGGGGACTGGCGTCAATATTTGCCAAAGCACTCTTCACATGTGGCATTGCTGGCAACTATCAAAAAAG